CCCCACTTTGTCATTGTGAGGTATTGTGTACAGAATTTTTGAGATCAATAATGAATTTAATCCATTTTGGAATAAGTGTGTAACAAAACAAAAATATGGAACATGTGAAGCACTCAGGCATTTACAAGAATATTCAGGTGTATGTTAACACAATGTCATATTTTTCCCAGAAAACAACATCCTAAGATCCCGAGGTCAATGTGGTGGCTGTAACTCAGAACGCAGAGCTAATGTACTAATCGGAAGGTTGGGGGTTGCCAGACAAGGGAAAGACAATGAAATGAAGACACTATTAGAGTATAAAAGTGCCTACAAAAAACCCCAAAACAAAACCAATAATAATAAAAACAAACAAAAAAAAAAAACAAGAAGGGAATCGTAGAAGTTGCTTGGAAGAAATAATATGTAAGCACGGCTCATCTCTGCAAAGTTGCCAAACCATGTTTGGTGAAAACTAAACGTATCCGAGCCATGCAACATAACAGTGACTCCAAGCACCAATCTACAGAATAATGATTGAAGGTTGGTGGTTGTTGGTTTAGTTAAAATCCAGACTTCAATCCTTAAGACAGCTGTGCATAAATAAACCCATCAACCTTGATGAACTGCACCAAAATTCCTCCACAACATTTTGAGAGAATAGTAGTCCTACTGAAAACGGCTACTCGTCAAGGTTCTTGCTGCTTAAGGTGTTTCCACAATTTATTCAATTAGATGTACTTTTTTGTAGTTTTTCATAGGACTTCATAGAGTGCTTACATGACTGCAGTTGTAGCCGGCAGTAGTAGGCTTCAGTAATCTATACTCCAATGTCAGGACAGTCACAGGACAGTGTCGAGTCCAACAACATAACTGAATTATTTCAACTGTGATTTTAACTGTCCAGCAGTAGCTTTCTCACCAGTGAAGCAGTCCAAGTCTTCAGCCAGCTCAGGGACAGGGTTTTTCTTCAGCAGCTGGATGCACATCTTCTTCATCTTCCTGGACAGTACAGGCAGAGATATTTGTAGAGAAGAAGCTTTGAACTCTTCTTCTTCTTCTCCATCAGTCTAAAATATAAAAACATAGTTCAGTGATTAAAAAAATGTTGAAAGAGAAAATTAAAGACACTGTGTGTTCTGTGAGATCTGTACCTGTAGAATCCTGCTCTTTAAAGGCAGGGTGCTCTTTAGCAACTGGTGAACTCTGTGGATGGGCATTTCCTGTGGGTTAGCGTCCACACTGTCCAAGCTCGCGCCGCTTCCCTGCTCCACCAGAGCAGGAATACTCGGACCATTCAAAGCCTCTTCAAACTGCTTGATAAACTTGAAGAGTGTGCTGAAAATCACAAGGTGATTACCATTAAAGCAGTCATTTATATATTGTTACACTTGGCCGAGGCTCAACTATCTTGACTTGCTACAGGTCAAGATCATTGTGGTCAACTAAAACTAAACGTAAAATCTGGTGCAACAAACATTTTAGTCAACCAAATAAAAAAGACCCCACTAACATTTGCACTTTAAAAAATGTGTTTAGTTTTATTAATCTAGATAACGCTGCTTAACAGCCAGATGAGGTGAGTCTTGTTCATACTGATTTAGGATGTCCACACGAATCAATTCACATCGTTGTGTCTACTGGAATACTGAACCTTCCAACTTCTTGGAAGCCATTATTTAAACAGTAAAAATGAAACTGAAACTAGACACCTGAACCTGGAAGCTAACTGTAAAACAAATGCCGGCCACATACCGATGGGTCTTCTCCACTGACTGTTTGATGGACCAAAAATTGACATCATTCCATTTGCAGATCTTGACAAAGTCCTAAGAATACAAATTCATATGTAAGACAATGACAGAAAACTTTGCAGTGAAGTTCAGAGATTCAGAGGCAAGTTTGAATAAGTGTTAAGAGTTTGATCAGATTTATAAGGATATACCTTGAGGTCCTTTTCAATGGTCTGCCTGTGTTGAGTAATTTTGGTTTGAATGCCTTGAGAAAACTGATTGTAGTATTTGTACAGGTTCCAGAGAAGACTGGACAAAGGTTCTGTAAAAGCAAGCAGCTC